TCCGAACAAGTTATGTTCGAGTGAGCACGTCCGAACAAGTTATGTTCGAGTGAGCACGTCCGAACAAGTTATGTTCGAGTGAGCACGTCCGAACAAGTTATGTTCGAGTGAGCACGTCCGAACAAGTTATGTTCGAGTGAGCACGTCCGAACAAGTTATGTTCGAGTGAGCACGTCCGAACAAGTTATGTTCGAGTGAGCACGCCCAAATCGTTTTTGTCCCGCCAAACAAATTTTGGAAGGAAAACGACGGACAACAAATGGACGCTTGAACAAGTCTTCTCCGGCGAAAGCTATTGACATCAACCAAACAGGCTTTCATGAGGTGTCCCTAGCATCTCGGAATATGTCATCCGAATCCTTAGGGATCAAATGGCATATTCCAAGCTCCCCAAGCCTATTTAAACCCCTCATTTTAGAGAATTGGGGGCTGGCTCTAATTTTCTATTTCACAATTCCTAGTTCTAAACTCCTAATTCTATTCTCTAATTAAATTAGTTAATTAGGTAATTAATTAATCAATTAGAGTGAGAGTTGGTGAGATTTGGACATTGATATTCATACACTTGGACTATCTTCATCATCCCTTTGCTTGGAGAGTTGGTGCTAGAGATCTTTGCTGGCCAGAGGGAGCTCGAATTGGAGTTTGTGACCAACTTGAGCTCTATCTTCACTAGCTTAGAGGTAATCCCTACTTCCATCCATGGCTTTCTCGCAATATTCTATCTCCGCTACTTTTTTTTTTATTATTGCTGGAGTTCTCTTGAGATCACTGAGATCATTATTGTCGAGTTGTTGATAACTTAGTTGAATTTTCTCTTCTCTCCCTTTTTTGTAGTTGGTAGAGCCCTGTATATTGACTTCGGCCAAGTCTAAATTGCTTTTTTCTGATTTTATTATGGGTTAGAAGCCCAGACATGGTTTCTTCTATAAGAAGGGACCGGATCTCCCCTTTTGAACCTCTTTTACATGAATTTGAGTAGTTAAACTCATCTTCATGAGTAGGAGGAGAACCTCTTGTGTCAACCCAACTCTATGTTATGCTAATTAATCTTAACCATGCTTATAATTATGAGCTTGATATGATTTTGAATGTTAATTATATGATTATATGCGTTTGTGAAATTCTATCTGTTCACCGAAGAAAGATCTGTTTGATTTTCTGTTATAAAATTTAAATTAGGGGCCGTAGAGACGTCAGAAACCAAAATTTATTGTACCATTGTAATTAGCAAAATTTTAGAGCCTATGATAAAATTTAATTAGAAATTGATTCGGATCAGAATAATTAGATTAAATTAAATGAGTAATTATCTTATGTATGATTAGGAGACTTAATCCAAGATTTGTGTTATAAGCTAATCACCACTATATATATATGGAGACATGAGATGAAACTCATCTTCCTTGAGCTCAAATCAGCCAAGAAGAATATAGAGGGGGAGAGACAATTAGAGAGAGAGAGAGAACACAAAATTGAAGACTTAGACTCAAAGCTTGGAGAATTGAAGGAGAATTGGAAAATTGAGCTAGAATACACTTAGATTCAAGCTATAGGTATGATTGTTAACCTTGATTCTTGTAATAAGAATATGTAGAAGTTGAATTCACCTAATTCTTGAGTTCATGTGAATGTAATTGTACAAAGAAAGTATGGGTATGTTTGGTTTGCATTTGGGAGATGAGTTTTTGGAAAAAAAATTCTAAAAAATTGTTTGGTTTGAGTTTTTCTCAAAAAATTTCCAAAATCACTTTCTCTCTCTTACACATCAATCAATCACTTTTTCTCTCTCCTCTCTCCTTCTCAATCACTTTTTCTCTCACACACATCTACTCAAATTCTCCCAAAATATCAAATCATCCCAAACTCCCAAAAAAACAACTCTCCCAAAATATACAACCAAACAAACTAAAAAAATTTCTAAACTCTCTCCCCAAAAAATTTTTCAAAAACAATTTTCCCAAAAACAAACCAAACAAGCCCCTATGAATCTCTTTGAAATGGAAAAATTGAGTTGAATTGTGTACATGCATGCATGAATCACCAAGTTGAGCTTGAATTTCATGGAAATATCCTCATGCATGAAGCTATAATTGACATTTTTGGTGATGTTTTATAGTCTTACTACTTTTCATCTCATGCATAAGAGTTTTGGGAAAATTTGAAAAGAAAAGAGTACAATTCATCTCATGCATAGTTTCAACCTTGTGATTTAAGCTTGAATTTGGGACAAAGGTTCATGATTTTGAGTAATTGGCTTTAAATTTCCATATTCTCATGTCCTATAATGGTTTTCCATGTTTTGGCATCAACTTGCAAGCTTTGGACCTTTGAACATCAAGTTAGAACTTCAAACAGAATTCTGGAAAACCCAGAATTCAGCTTGTCCGCTCAAGCAAGGAAAGCCTCGTTCGAGCGTGAAATTGTAGCTCCCAGAAGTTTTGTAGAGATAACACGGTGGCTCGAGCGGACGAATCTGCGCTCGAGCGTACCCTGCCTTGCATGACTCCTCGCTCGAGTGTCAAAAACCTCGCTCGAGCATAAATTACAAGCAACCAGAAGCTTTGCAGACCAAAAGGGTCCACTTGACCGACCAAAGCTGCGTTCGAGCGGAGGACCCTGTTTCAGAAATTTTGTAAAGGCATTTTATATTTTGTTTTCCGTTCTTTTTCACTTCTAAGCATTCTTAGGCATGCATTGGACATTCCAAATGAATCAAAGAGCATGAAAGAAGCCTAAGAACATTATACGACTTAAAGAACGGAATGAATTGAATTATGACCCAATGTGTTATGAATTATGTAGGGTCGACGCAAGGGCAAATCAAGCACCGAATCACCGTGAGTAATATCCTAGTAAATATATTTTTGTATATGCATTATTTCCTAAATGTTGTCTACGTGGTAATTTCTAAACTTATGAATGAGTATTCTATCCGCCCGTTTCGTGAAAGAATCTATAAAATGAATGTCATAAAAATAGAAAATGGGCCTAAGGCCGTTTGGTATATTTGACAAGGACATAGATGGGGCCTAAGGCCATTTGGAATGTTTAACAAGATAGACTAAAAGTCATCTTATACATGAATTGGGCCGCAGGCCGTTTTGTATGATTGATGAATAGACCAAAGGTCGTTCTGAATAAAGAATTGATTGGACCAGAGGTCGTTTTAAATAAAGAATTGATTGGACCGAAGGTCATTTTGAGTATAAATACGGAAGCGACGCATAGTTATGAATATGAGAATGTTGGACCCAAGGTCGTTTAGTATTATGAAATGAAGGACCGATGGATATTGATACATGGATCCATTATCCATTAGACCTGAAATTGGTCTATGAATGAGTATTGGACCTGCGGCTGTTTTGTATAGATGGACCCAAGGTCGTTTCGTGTGCGATGGACCTGAGGTCTTTTTGTACATGAATACGATGTGCTAGACCCGAGGTCGTTTTGCTCGTTATGGTCTATAAATCTGATATGAATTGGAATAATAGTGCAACTGTTTAAATTATAAGTATGACCTATTCATGAACGAATCTCATTCATTAACCTCTTTACTCTGGGGTATTATTCACTGGGCATTACCTCACTGTTTATATTTATGTATGTAGGTGAACAGCGGGATGTGCAGCCCAGCCCCAGTGAGCGATGAGAAACCATGTTTTGAGAGATTAACCAGAGTCGCCTCACACAAGAGGCCTTGCTTTTGCTTTACTGCTCTTTGAACCTTCTGTGGTCATGTATGACCAACCTTGACTAACCTGGTGTATAATTTGAACTTTTGTTAACACTGGTTTTGAATAATCCTATGGCATACTTAATGTGAATATACGTATGGTGTAAGTTATTATGTGAATGTATGAATGTTTGGTTAAGCCATGTATGCACAGCTCAACGGACAATTTTAGAAAATTTTCTTCCGCAATTTGGCCCCTTATTATTAAATGCGTTTTGATTTTTGACTAAGGCCGCAGGTAATCTCGTGATTACTGGCCGGTTATGACTCTAATCCATAAGGACAGGTTGGGGTAATGACACCTCTCTTCTCATTAGAATCTCCCCCCTCCCCCTTTTGTTATTTTAGTTGATTTTCATTCATATAGAAGCCTAGACAGGGTTTCCTCCGCGAGAATCAATTAAATCTCCCCTCTCATTATTATTTCATGAATTTGGGTAGTTTATACCCTATGAAGCATGGGTGCGGGTACAAATACTGGTACGGACATGATATAGGTACGCCGATACGGCAAAACCTAAAAAAAATAAAACACAGGTATGGCTAGGGTACATCAATAAATTTTTTATTTTTTATAATTTATAGTTTGAGATCTAATCTACAAATCAAAGTTCAATACCAAAACTAAAAGGAGAAATTACAAAACCAAAAGAGAAATCATAGTTCAACAATACCAATACCAATACCAATACCAAAGCAAAGTCTATAAGCTATTTTAATGCCATTAAATAGGAGAAATTATAAAACAAAATTTCATTCTAAAAGCAAGCTAAGCAAAATTTAAAAACTTAAAGCTTTAGTTTTCACTTCCATCAACTTCATCATTGAATAATACATCTTTCATCTATGGCACATCAAGTAAAGGATTTGTAATTTCAAGTAAACAAGAATTCTCTAATAAATTAAACGTATTCCCACCAATGTCCCATAGCTTGGTGTACTACCGATGTACCCATCAAGTAGTGCGTATTTTGAGTACCCGATATGCATAAAGCCCTATCGATGCGAATACCAATACTCAACAAGCACCCGGTACGAGTACAGCAACATTTTCGAAATACCCATGCTTCATAGTTTATACCCCTTTTCATGCGTTAGAGGGTGAGAATCTCTCTATCTTCGCTAGAGCCTTCTTTATGAATTATTGATGATGTAGAAACCCAAACACAGTTTCCTCCAAGATGATAAGTTGGACCTACCCTCTCAAAACACGTTATCACGGATTTGGGTAGTCCATGTGTAAGAGGTTTAGGACACCTCCTTATCCTCACCGGAGTATTTATTTTAAGTAATGATAATTGTTATGCATGTCGTGTGCATTGGAATGGGTTTCTTTCTCCCTACCCTTACTCTCCTCTTTTATTCTGCTTTAATTTTATTATTATTCAACCACCATGGCATTCACATGTTTAGGTTAGAACCATGCATCTGAGCTCAAATCATTGTATCTTGATAGTTGTGTGGTGTGTATTTCTTAATGTTTCATATGCCATATCGATAGTGTCTGGGCTCATAGGATTCATTTGTGTGAATTTTGTATTTTATAGGTCTTTTTGCATATAGGATCATACATATTTCTAATCGGTTGTGTATTGTTGCACTTGGCTAGAGTACTCGCTGAGTCTCCTTTTCTTCATTCCGTGCATACCATTCAGCCCAAATATCTAAGATCATGCATCGATTTCTAACTCTTTACGTTCATGGCATAGCGTGGAGGAGTACTAAATGAGCCTCTTTCATCTCTGCATCTTGTGTGATTGTTTTTTATTATGTCTAGCATACTACCATGAGACTATGTGCTTATGTGTTATATCTCTATGAGTTCTCATTGTATGGAGGCCTCATTGCCTAAGTTAGGATGGTTCCAATCTCTTTGCAAGTCAGTTATCTCGTCTATTATGAGATCTCTGCTTTTAAAACCTTTTCAAATGGCGAGAGATTAGAACATTCCAAAGTAGGTGATTTGGTCTACACTTGTTTGCTCCACATAGTAAAGATAGCATTAATAATTAGGTTATATGATCATATTGCATTAATAATTCTCATATTTTGGTAGAGGCCGATCTTTGATCAGGTGAGCAAAATTGCTCAATTCATGAACTTCCCCCCTCATACCTAAGCTCCCAAACCAAGACACTTTGGTTGTGACGGACATTGGCCTTTGGCACGAGTCAGGGTTTCCTAGCTTCCCCAAAAGATTAGGTGGCGACTCTGAGTCTAATGATGCAGTCCATATTTGGCATTTCTTGTGATTAGTGGATTTTCTATGGATTTCCCATATTTGGACTCTCACCGGCTTCACATTGCATACTCGTGGAGTCGGACAGGGTCCAAACTGTGCGGGTGCTTCAGAAACCCCTTTCCGAAGGAGGTCCTACTCCCTGTTGTGACTCCTTTGTTGATAAACAGGATGGAAATTGATGAGGTAAGCATAAATTTATTTTAAAATCTCCACTTTACCCTTCATCAAATTCAATAAAAGATACCAATCTTTTCACACAAAAACTTTTCTTTAAAAAAAATAACACTTTTTTTCATATAGTTCCAAAAACTAATTTTTTAATACGTGAATCAAATAATAAACCTAATTAGGGAATATTTTGAATTTCAACATTGAAATTCATAACTCGTGTTCTTTTTCAAAGTAGTCACTAAAATTTCTATAAAAAAAGTCCCCTATTTATAACGATGACGTATATATTGAATTTAATAAGATGGACGTGTGTGCATTGGTATTGAGTAAAATTAAACACCTAAATCACCTAGCCATTTCCGTTAGGTATGATTAACTCTATAATGCATGAGATAGTTTCATATTGAGTTAACATTTGTATTTGTTTTCTACTACCATAAAATTTGTGTTATGCACAACCTAAAAGAATAATTAAATATTCATCTATCTACATATATATATAAGTGAGTTTTTTAACAAAGAGAGTTGTGTGAGCTTCAAAGTCTTGATATCAATTTTTTTATCTTTTGATCATTAACTTTTTTCTATGGTCTGGTGAAAGAAAATTAACTAGTTTTATGAGTTTTATAAAATCATGATATCATGTATTGTTAAAGTATCTATGCATTGAACTTCTTTTCTTCTTTTTTTATACAACTTCAAATAAAAAATATAAAATATAAATAATAAAAAAATTGTATTTATAAGAGACAATAAAAAGAAAAAAATAAATCCGTGTGAATAATGTGTATAGCATTGGTCAATTATTGGTAGACACAACAAGAAATGATCAAATCACATCATCATACATTACTACTACAAGAGAGAATAAGAAGAATAACCCTAGCATAAACTAAGGGTAAAATAGTAAACCAACAAATAAAACCATCACTGTCCTAACATAGGGCAACTTAAGGGAGGTAATTGTTATTTTAAAAACCTAAGGGTAGGTATTTGCAATTGTCATAAACGTCAAAGGAGGTCAGTGTAATTCACCCAATGTATTAAGATGAATGCATAACAGATCCACCTCTTCAGATAAGAAGAGAAAGTAATGTGAATGTGTGTACATACTTGTATCAAGCCTAATATGTGACAAGCCCTACAAATGTCACATCATCAAAGCCCCGCCTGCATGGCAACTGACAAAGCACCACGCTGGCATATCATGTGCCTAATACATGGCGAGTCCTACGGGCGCCATGTCACCAATACCCACCTGCATGGCAGACCACTAAGGCACTATGCAAAACCAAGACTACATGCTTAGCCTAAGAGGGAGCATGCACACAAGCCCAAGCATGAAGAGCCCTACAACCCCTACAGGCCCATGATCCTTCTTCATATCTCGCTCCAAATCCAACAACAATATAATCAGGCCCTTGGAGACCTACTTGCATACATTGGACTTGAATTGATAAGAGCGTGTTTAACCTAAGCGAGAGCATGCACACAAACCCAAGTATAAAGAGTCCTACAACAAGCAGTCCCATGGCCCGCCTATAGTCCTTCATACTTCGCTCCAAGTCCAACAACAATATAATTAGGCCCTCAGACTACTTAGATGCATTGGACTCAGATTGATAAGAGCGAGCTCTTGGCCGTCGTAAACATTAAGATAGACCCCTAGTCCATTCACCTACTTGGTTATCTGGGTTGGGAGCAGGACCCAAGCATCACCGCTTGGAATCATCAGAGTCATCAGAGGACCTTGGGCTGGCAGCTAAGGTCATGGGATCGCCAAGATGGTTGTCTTCTTACTCAGTCAACTCCATCTTGATCAGGCTTGGAGAAAAGGCAATAGTGATCTCACACTCATACCGTCTGATGCATGTATGATATGTCGTACTCCCGCTTGCCATGATATGTTGCTCCACTGCCTACCATCAAACCACAGACAGCAACAGAGCTTTATATCAACTTCTAGCAGAGTTGGGAAAAAAAAGCCACCTGTCCAATAGGTTGCTTGAGCTCCAATACTCCAGGAGCCTATATAACATATCATATATGCAGTAGGCAGACATGCAACACAACGACAACAATCACAACACAGATTCACAACACACAAGTGTTACACCCAGACACTCATACTCACATTACACTTGAATACACACTTACACACTAGTGTTCAAGGTCTATCACTACCAAACTCTCCCTCTCCAAGCTTGCCTTGGCCTCCTCTTCACCTATGGTGATCTCAGGCCATTGAAGTGCCCACCATCTTCCCAGAGGTCAACAATGGACTAACTCTACACACACACCTACCCACAATGTGTAGCTCATGTTGTAGACTGTCCTTGCACATTGGTCATCATCAATCTGATGTAAAGCAAGATAACTGGAAAAGGGGCTAATCAGGAATTCCAAGTGGAAGCCCACTTAGGACTTAGGAAGCACGGATACTCCAAAAAAAGTTTCATACGAGTATCGGATACTTATCGAATACGGATACACATACGATATGGCGAGATACGCATCGGATACGACAAATAAGTATCTGATTTATTTTTTTAATTTAGGCCTCGTTTGGCAACATCATATTTTGACCTAAAAGTCAAAAAGTCATTAAAAAATCAAAAATTCAATACAAAAAGAGTCAAAGATTCTCTTCTCTCTACTTTTTGCACATCTTTTCGTAAAAAATCAAAAAGTCATCCCAAACATACTAATTTTTTTACCTCATATTTTAGCTAAAAAACCAAAAAGTTACTAAAATAGCCTATTCCCAAACGAGGCC